AAAATACGCCTTAAATTTGACTGAGTATTAATGAAGATTCCACAATTGGGATTCTATGAATAATATATGTGTGCTAACCCAATCTTTTGAGGAATCTAACGATATATTATGATCATCAATCGAATCTCTCGATCATCGGAGATAAGACGAAAAGCGTCCAACTTTTCAGTGAGTTGCAGCAACTGGGAAAATTGGAAACTTTGACGGCTTATCTCCTGCAATCGAGAGACTCAATTGATGATTGGGCTACATTGTTGGATTCCTTAAGAAATTGTGTTTCACGCGTATACTTTTCATAAATATCCAACGGTCAGATCTTTGGCAGCATTGGCCAATTTTTAAGACGTATTTTGTCCAAAAAAAATTATAACTTTTAATGAAAATTTTGACGAACTTCAAGATATCGTATGATGAAATAAAAATACAGTTGGATAGGTCGAGTCGAGAGCTTCAAAATGACATATGATTTGTTGAAATCCACCACTAGAGGCAGCGGCGACCTTTAATTAAAGCAAATTTTTTCAACGTTTGGATGAGCACTACATATACAAGAAAAGTGATGGAAATATGGTGGTCTTTCTTGTGTACTACTTAGACGACATCCTTCTAATTGAAAACAATGTAAATGTGTTGTCAAGCGTAAAGGTATGGCAGTCCAAACAGTTTAATATGAGGGATTTGGGAGAAGAAGAACACATTCTCGGCAGTAAGATAATTCGACACCACGATAAGAGAATATTGTGTATATCCTAATCTTCGTACATAGAACATTGTCCTGGCTCATTTCAGCATGCAAGATTCCAATAGAGTGTTACTGCCCTTTCGGCATGGAGTTCTACTATCCAAGGAGATGTCTCCCAAGACGCCTCAAGAGATAGAGGACATGAGAAAAGTTTCTTATGCTTCGACAATAGGAAGTCTCATGTATTTTATGTTGTGTAGGTCAGATATTCTGCTATGCAGCATGCATGGTAAGCAGGTATCAAAGTAACCCAAGACAGAGTCATTAGACCGCAGTAAAGCATATACTAAGGTACTTGAAGAGGACCAAAGAGTATATGTTGGTCTATCGATTGGACTAATTGATCCTTGTGGGTTACACTGATTCCAACTTTCAGTTAGACCGGGACGAAAGTAAATCTATCTTAGGATTTGTGTTTACTCCATGAGGTGGGGCCATA